TATTATTCAGGTGATGGTTACACTTAAAGGCCCAGACTTTACCACTATGTAATATATCCATGTAACAAAACTGCACTTGTATCCCTTACATTTATAAACAAACAAACAAAAAACAACAGAGTGGATTTTGCTAATGTAAATTTTTAAGGGGAAGGGAGGAAAACTTCTAAGAAGCTTGTCTTAATTACCAAGGGCCATTGAAAATTTTGTTTTCTCCTTGTTACAAAAAATATTTGGGTTGCCTGGGCTTCTTTACCATACTTTTTAAAAAAATAGAAATTTTCACTTTCCACTGCTCTTTCCCATCTGGTATGGTTTGGATATGTGTACCCTCCAAAACTCATGTTGAAACGTTATCCCCATTGTTAGAGGTGGAGCCTGATGGGAGGTGTTTGGGTGGGGCAGATCCCTCATGAGTGGCTTGGTGCCATCCCCATGGTAGTGAGTGAGTTCTTGCTCTGAGTTCGCTCAGAGATCTGGTTGTTTAGAAGAGCAAGGCATCCCCCCTTCTCTCTCTTGCTCCCTTACTTACAATGTGACGGACCTGTTCCTGTTTCACCTCCACCATGAGTAAAAGTTCCCTGAGGAGGCCGGGCGTGGTGGCTCAAGCCTGTAATCCCAGCACTTTGGGAGGCCGAGATGGGCGGATCACATCCTGGCTAACACGGTGAAACCCCGTGTTTACCAAAAAAATACAAAAAATTAGCTGGGCATGGGGGCGGGCGCCTGTAGTCCCAGCTACTCAGGAGGCTGAGGCAGGAGAATGGCCTATACCCGGGAGGTGGAGCTTGCGATGAGCTGAGATCCGGCCACTGCACTCTAGCCTGGGCGACAGAGCGAGACTCCGTCTCAGAAAAAAAAAAAAAAAAAAAAAAAAAAAAAACTTCCCTGAGGACTCACCAGATGCCGAGCAGATATCGGGACTACACTTAATGTACAGCCTGCAGAACCATGAGCCAATTAAAACTCTTTTCTTTTTTTGAGATGGAGTCTTGCTTGCACTGTTGCTGAGGCTGGAGTGCAGTGGCGCAATCACAGCTCACTGCAGTCGTGACCTCCTAGGCTCAAGCGATCCTCCCACCTCAGCCTCCCAAGTAGCCAGGACTGCAGGTGCACATCACACCTAGCTAATTTTTCTATTTTTTGTAGAGACAGGGTCTCACCATGTTGCCTAGGCTGGTCTCTAACTCCTAGGCTCAAGAGATCTGCCTGCCTCAGCCTCCCAAAGTATTGGGATTACAGGTATGAGCCATCATACCCAGCCAGGCATTTCTTTAGAGTGAGGTAAGAACTGACTGACACACCATCTTTCCATCATCTCACAGCCTGTGAGATACACAGGTAGCTATTATCATCCCGTTTCTACAAGAGGTGTAAAAGACATGTTGACCCAGATTTGAATTCCGCTTGCCACTTGTGTGATATTGGGCAGGTCAGTTAACCTCTTTGAGCCTCACTTTTTTGTTTAAATGAGTATGGCCATATTAGCTGTGGCTATTGAGTTTAATGCAGCATTTCCCAAACTTCCCTCATGATGAGAATCCTCTGGGTATTGTTAAAATCACAAATTCCTGGGCCCTAGTCCAGGGCTACTGAACTAGAATTCCCAGGGATGAGGCCTGGCAGTCTGACAGGCCCCAGGGATTATCAGGGAAATTTGGGAAACACTAGGTTGATTTTTATAAAGCATTTATTGTTGTGTCTGGCACTAAGCAGCCAATATTGAGCGCTTAGATGGGTTCAATCTTTGAAATGTGGATAATAGTGATTACCAGATAGGGTTATGATGAAACACAAGAATAATAACGTATAGTGCCTGGCAAACAGTAAGTTGTAAGTATCTGTTGGAGTCCTCACTTCATTGCACTCATCAGGACTCCCAGGATGGGATGGGATCACCTGGAGGTTCGCTGGTTCTCTGTCCTGGCTCTATCCAAGTGCTGTGCCTCCTCAACTCCAGGCCTCCATCCTCTAGCCCAGCACCTCCCATGGGAAGATTCTTGTTTTCTAGATTTCAGGCAGCAAGCCTCATTTGACCAATTTGGGTTTCAGGTCCTTCCTTGTACCAGTCACTGTGGTTAGGATTTGGACTAGGCTGATTGGCCAGGACAAAATAACTTGCTTACCTAAGACCCAGAGGGATGGGGGCCAGCCCATCTGAACTTCAGGAGTGGAGAATGGTCCATATCCATGTGAGTCTTTCCAATGGTCCATTGGAGTTGTTGCTAGGCCAAGAAAAACGGATGGTTGGCAGGCAGCCCCACGGACGTTCCCTGCATCAGCTCCCCAGTTCGCAGTCAGCCAGCAGCCTCCAGATGCCTCAGTGACTCCGGAGCTTCTGGCAATCTCTCCTCTGCTAGTGCGACCACCGCCAGACTTGAGGGTCTCAGTCGGATGACCCAGCCTTTGACCTACCCTCATCGGTGCAACCATCTCCAGCCCCCTCCTTGGCCTGTTCACCCTTGGGCCGGCCTGTCCCAGGGGCCTGTCCAAGGGCTGGACCAGGGACTTAGAGCTGCTGTTGTCCAAAGCTGCTTATTAGAGACCCACTGTGGGAATTCTTCCAACCATGAACAATGAGTTTCTAAACCAGGATAAAAACAGCCTTTGCAAGTCAGCAAATGAGACAAACTGAATTGCTCAACCCCCCTTCCCTCATCTGCCTGGTACTTTGAACACAGTGGCTAAGAACAAGGTCTCTGGAGTCAGAAGGATGTCGTTTTGAGGCCCTTCACTTACTAGCTGGGCTAGTTGTCTCACTTCTGAGCCTCGGTTTCCTCTGTGAAATCCGCAAAGATTAGAGGCGGCAATGGATGGAAAGCACATGACACACAGTAGCTCATAATCAAGAAGCATCGTCATTACTGTCCTCTCCAGGCACTGGTCTGCACCAGGAAACACGCAGCCCTTCAGTGGTGATCAGTGTCAGATAGGACAATGTCAGGGAGCCAAATTTTCCACTGTGAATAGCTAGAACCTATGATGCATTCCAAAGCCACCTAAAACACATACCTGGCCATGGCACTCACTATATCCTGTTCACTCAAGGCTCAGCTGTTTCCTTCCTGGAAGACACACTGCATGGTGTGTCTTCTCACTGCAGCTGGCCTCCCCCCACCCAAACAGTACAGCTGTGTGTGAGACGGTGCAGAAGCCCACGGATGGGAGTCCTGGTTTCCAGGCTTGGCTGTCACTCCCCTGCAGTGAAACCTTGGGCACGTCACTTGCCTTCTCTGGGCTTCGATTTCCTCTTTGGTCAAATAAGAGGGTTGCACGGGGTGACTTAGAAACCTAAGTTCTTCTATCTCAGGGGTCTGTCCTATGGCATTTACTAGCACACTGAGTGGTGAAACTTCCCTCGCTGAAGCCGTGATGGTCAGGGTGAGGAACTACTCCAACACACCTCACTCACACAAGTGGTCTGATCTGGGAAGCAGGAGTCAGGATGTGGGAGGCACTTATGGTACAGGCAAGAGGGCCGGCTCTGGAATCGCACACCTGGTTAGTTCCTGATGGTGCTCTTCTTCCTGGCTGTATGGCCTTGGGCATTACCCTCTAAGCCACTGTGTAGCAAGGGTAACAGCATCTACCTAAGGTGGCTGTGATGATTCGGTAAGATTAATGAGATGCTGCATTTGAAGCAAAGGGCCTAGAACGTAGCAAGAGCTCAGGAAAAGCCAACCCTGCCCCTCTCTCCTCTTTGTCTGAGCTTTCTGTGCCACTCGTAAGTTCCATGAAATGCAAATAGCCCCAGATGGGCCTGGGTTGCATGCTGATTCCACTTTTTCCAAGTGACTTGACCTGTTTTCCTTATCTGTTAAATGGGCATAATACGATCTTCCTCAAGGGTTAACACGAATGCTTGGCATGATCAATACAGAAAGGGTTCTCCTCCCTGAGGCCCATTAACATCAACCTGTTCACCACCTTCCCTTTTTCCTTACATTCTTTAGTTCTTTCTTTGTGAGACAGGTCCTCAGCCTGTCGTCCAGGCTGGAGTGCAGTGGGGTGATCATGACCCACTGCAGCCTCAACTTCCCTTGCTCAAGTGGACTACAGGCATGCACCACCACGCCTGGCTAATTTCTGTATTTTTTGTAGAGACGGGATCTCTTTCTGTTGCCTACGTGGGTTTCAAGCAATGCATCCGCCTTGGCCTCCCAAGGTACTGGGATTATAGGCATGAGCCACCATGCCTGGCCTATGGTATTTATTGCTGTATCTGTTAGTCACCTGATCCTTAAAGGCCCCATGGAGGGAAGTCAGGGCCAGAAAACCTGAGGCCAGACCAGAGTATCTCTCAATTTCACCCCACTTCCATGTTCTTTCACTCTGAGAGGTACAAGAACATGCTTGCCTAGTTCATTCTCACAGCCCAGGTGCTTACTAGCACAGCACTTGGCCCGGAGGAGGTCACTTCTCCATCCCATCCATCCCATGCTTGGAACCACAGGCAGCTTGCTCCAAAGGGCAGTAGGTGCCAGGGTACCACCCAGAGGGTGAGGTGGGTCACAGACTCTTCTGCAAACACTTTACACTGCTGGAATCACACAATAACTATAAGACATTGTAAGGAATTAGGGCTTGTTGTGGGTTCAAGGCTGTAAAGAATGAATACATAAGAATGAGTACATGTGAACATGTATAAACAACCACAGTAAATTGGCTTAACTCTTCTGGAAAACATGGAACCTTGTACATGAGCCTCATAAATGTTTTCAGCTTTTGGTCCAATGACTGTACTACTTCTAAGAGTTTGTACTAAGAAATCCACAAAAAGTATGAATAAGTAGTAATATAACAATATCCACTCTAGGGGTAAGTTGGACATAACGAAAACATCTAACCATTTGGTTAGAATTAAGTAAATCAGAATATAGTTGATGGACTACTATGTAGCCATTTAAGATACATGCTTTTGAAAATTAAAGGTACAAGGAAATGATTCTAATACTGTTAAGTAAAGTAACAAAATAAAACACCATATGTAAACCTCTGGGTTTGTGAAATAATTTGTTTTATAAACATTCCTGAGTTTTCAACCATACATTCTTTTTACAATACGACAAACAAAACAATGAAAGATATTCAAAACAAGGTTCCAAGGTTAGCCCAACTTGATTGATTGGGTACTTGTTTTTTTAGTAACTCTGTAACTTTTTTAAAGGAAGCTTTTAATGAAGATACACCACTGAGTCTTGCTTTAAGACCAAAAATATCCAAACTTAGTATCACATTATATATATATCTCATAAGAAAAGCTATTCTGTCAGGTAACAAAAATGAAGCTTCCCCCTCACCTAGCAGTTCATCTGGAATGCATCTTGACAAGATCAATGGCCTGTTGGACTCAAAGAAGCCATCCCCAAAAAAATTGTATAAAAAGATTTATTGAAATTTATCAATGACAAACAGACATAAAACTCAAAGTTTGGCTCTTCTGAGGGGCAGGAGAAAAACTGGTGCAGATGTTCTTTTATACAGATGAAACATGGGTTCAGAAATTACACGTCACTTCTAAAGCAACCAGAAGAGGGACACGAAAGCAAACCTGTACATTCACTAGGAATTTGCAGTCATTTCAGATTTCCACTAGGTAAGAAAATACAATTTTGCGTTAGTTTTTCCGTGCTTGGGTGTATGAAAAAAAAACCCAGCCGACATGCAGCAACGTCTCCAGCGCTTAGGACTGTAAAAACGTTCTAAGCACAGAAGTACATGTGGAAGAATTCTCTCATCATTTTTGTAAAACAAAGCGTTCTAATATTTTACAGAACAAGATAGGACAGTATTTTTTTTTTTTCTTTTAAAGAAGTTGAAGTTTGAGGGTGTGTTTCTTCTCTTTTAATTTTAATTACCAAATCCATTTTCCTTGTAACTTACAAGCCTGCCGTTTTCAGCTCTCTGGCTCATAAGCTCTCAAGAGTAACATCAGAGTCCTCTTTGTAGAGCGAAGCCCACCACCATCTGTGAAGGGGGAAAAGGGATGAGAGATGGGGAATGTCCCCAGACCAGTGCCAAAATACGCCTTTAGGTTGCTATTTACAAACCAGGGCGTTGGATGCCTCTAGCAGGCCCGAGAAAAGCAGGTATCACGTGAACCAAAGCAAAAAAACATGGCTGGTGCTCAGCCCCTCCTGGGCATTGAGAAACCAAACTGAGACCAGCCACAGCCTTCCACCCAACCCAAGAGACTTGGGAAATACCAGGAAACGTAAGAGAACTCCAAACCATCCTCTTTGAGAGTCAGGAACAAATGCTCACTTAGTGTGTACTTAGCTATCGCATTTACAGGGACAAAAACTGGACACAAAGAAAAAGTAGGGGGAAAAAATAAAGAGTGGCAGTAAAAATAGTATTTTATTCCACCCCCACCCGCCCTCCCTCCCCCCGCAACCCCCAGTACACTTTTCCCCTCTCGTTCCCACAGCAACGTTACAATCAGAAAAAAATAAGTTTCAGGGGGCAGGATTGGAGGAGGGGGAGGGGATATGGGTAAAAACAGTCAAATCACAATAGGAATTTTTCAAAATAGGTTATTCCACTTAGTCATCATCTTCTCCCTCATCTTCAGGTTCTCGTTTTCGCTTCTGACCCCTTTCTTCTTCTGGAAGAGCAAGAAAGTGGCATTTAGATTAGTTATGAATCCCACCTCTTTAACTCAACCCACCCAATGAGAAGCCACGGGGCCCACCACTACTAAGCTGTGCCATCCTTGGAAACCAAGGCAAGACATCTGCACAGCTGGAGGGGGAACCTGAGGCCTCTGACAGGAGTGTCCTGCCCACTGCCAGGGGACTCAGAGCCTCAGCGATCTAAGGCCAAAGTAAAAGGGCCAGGCTGCTACCAGTTGAGAGTAAAAAGGCTGCCATACCACCAAGCTCTTCTTCATCTTCCTCGTCATCTACCTCTCCATCATTATAACCTTCTTCATCCTCCTAGGAGAAAAGACGGACACCAGAACATTAGAAACGCCCCGCCTTGAGACACGCTGAGGAAGCCACACAGAGCACAAAAAGGCCGGGGTCACCCCCAGCCTCTCAGAGCCCCCACCAAGACTTGCCATCTCGGGAGGAATGTAAAGCAAAGGTTCTTAATTTATTTTGGATCAAGGACCCATTGGGGAATCTGCAGAAAGCTTTGAACTCCTTCTCCAGAAAATGTCCGCATCATTTATAATATTTGCAAGCAGTTTCAGGGGGTGATGGATTCTAGCACCCAGGTTAAGAACTCCCATCTGAAGTCCCTGTAAGGCAGGCAGCTTTCCAGTCTGCGCATTCTCTGAGGAGAGCAAGTTCCCGAGCAGACTCCCTGCCGTGCAAAGTAGGCCATCCTTTCTTGCATCTGTCCTCAATCTAGTTTTGGCTTCAAGGGAAGACCCCAGTTTCAGCAAATCCAGATTCTGTGGGCAAGTCCAATGTCACCCGATCCAGTCCCTTCCCTAGCTTGCAAACTTGGACCACCTGGAAGGGATGGGGAAGATAAATTCAAGACCCCCCTGAGGACATCATTGCCAACCAGCTTGAGGTTCAGCAAGGTATACGACTTTCCTTCTCAACACAGGACCGTGGCTTTCCTCTGCTCCTGAAAGTATATGCAAGCTGAACCTCTGCTTGTTAAACCCAGTTCCTGAAGTTTAAGAACTTGGTGACAGACTTCTTTTTTGTCAAGGGAAATAGTCTTTTAAAATGTCACCGGCCGGGCGCGGTGGCTCAAGCCTGTAATTCCAGCACTTTGGGAGGCCGAGACGGGCGGATCACGAGGTCAGGAGATCGAGACCATCCTGGCTAACACAATGAAACCCCGTCTCTACTAAAAATACAAAAACATTAGCCGGGCGTGGTGGCGGCGCCTGTAGTCCCAGCTACTTGGGAGGCTGACGCAGGAGAATGGCGGGAACCCGGGAGGCGGAGCTTGCAGTGAGCCGAGATCGCGCCACTGCACTCCAGCCTGGGCGACAGAGCGAGACTCTGCCTCAAAAAAAAAATAAAATAAAATAAAATGTCACCAAAGAGTTCCCTCATCAGTCTGTTTGCTAAGGTTCTGGGTTTTTCTGCATGTATAAGCTCTCCTTTATTGAAAGTTGGAAATATGCAGATGGTCAGTGAGATTATTAAAAAAAAAACAAAAACAAAAAAAACCCCACAATCCTCCCCGCCCTGCACCGCCGCCAAACCCCACATGCAGCACTTCTGTGACAGGAAGGGGAAGACGAAACAGCTATTAGCCAATACAACTTACTGCCCTGTTCTAGGGAAACCTGTTTTACTAAGACTTTATTTTTAAAATACAATATTCTTTAGAGATGAGCCTAGGAGTCTAGACCTAGGGAGAAGACAAAGCCAGCAGCACAACTAAACAGAAACCAAGCTCATCTCGCCAGTTTTTTTTTTCTTGGACTGAGTCTCGTTCTATTGCCCAGGCTGGAGTGCAGTGGTGCCATCTCGGCTCACTGCAACCTCTGCCTCCCGGGTTCAAGCGATTCTCGTGCCCTAGCCTCCTGCGTAGCTGGAATTACAGGTGTCCGTCAACATGCCTGGCTAATTTTTGTATTTTTAGTAGAGAAGGAGTCTCGCCATGTTGCCTAGACTGGTCTCGAACTCCTGACCTCAAGCGATCTGCTCACCTCGGCCTCCCAAAGTGTTAGGATTACAGGCATAAGCCACCGCGCCTGGCCTCCGCTTTTCTATTGTCATTGGCCTGTGTCTCTCAAGCCTGGGCCGGCTGGCTGAAACTGGAAGACACTATCTGAGTGAGTCCGTGTGGCAAGCGGATGTGTCTGCATCCTCCATTGAGGGAGACAGGAAACTGCGGGGGGAGTTGGGAGGGGACACAGGTACCTTGTCCATGCTATTGTCACTTTAAAACTCTCTAGGTCTAACTTCTGCAATTAGCAAGAGTTGATTTAGAATTCTGAGCAAGTTATAGAAAATGACTCTGCTACAGAGAGGCTCAGAACACACAAACACAAAACCCAACACAGTGCCAGGAACCTGGAGGAGGGTGTGAACGCCTACAATAAGCAGTCAGACACTTACCCCTTGTCAGACATTGTCCTTAAGCATTTTACTTACACTTCACTTTATCCTCTTAACAACCCTGTGAGAAAGCTATCATGATCCCTGTTTTACAGATGAAGAAATAGGCTCAGAAAGGTCAGGTAAATTGTCCGGGGACACACAGCTAGTGAGTGGTAGAGCTGGGACTCACCCCCTCACAGATCTTGTTAAAAAACTGGGAACCAGCCAATCTGTTTAGGAAAATGGCCAACTCCTGACGCTCTATTTCCATAGTGTCACTCTCTGATTTGGGATCCAGCAGTGTTATCCTGCTACCTATCAGTTCAAGGCAGTCTTTGGTTTTCCCCAGCACAGTTTAAGTGCTCAATGAATATCTTAATTAGCATATGAAAGCAAAAAGCAGAAAATGGGGTCATGCATTCTGTACTTCTTCACACAGAAACAATGGCCAGGCTTACCCCAGCAGGTTCAGTCCCTGCCTCTAAAATCCTCTTCCCCTCTTCTAATCCAGCCTCCCCAGAGCTTGCTGCAAGTCTTGTCTCCCCAGAAACAGTCCAGTGAAAGGCTCTGAAATGGACTCACTTCACTACCCACGGGGGAGCAACTTTCCTAACCAGGGCTCCAGGGTTGCCAAGACTGATCACAGAGGCAGTCAGTGGGACTGCCTCAAAGGGGCAGACGGTGGCCCTGCCCTGCCCAGCCCAGCCCAGCCTCCTTACCTCCTCCTCTCCACTCACGTCCTCCTCTTCACCTTCCTCCTCCTCATCCTCGTCCTCCTCGTCTTCCACTACCTGAGCATCTTCATCATACTCCTCCTCTGTGCAATGGAAATGGGGAATGGAAACAGAACTAGTGGTGAGCTGGCTCCGCCCCCACACAGCACAGGCCCCTGTAGCGTCTTCAGTGTGGGGCTCACAACCCTGCCGCACCCACCTAAGTCCAAAGATTGAACACACTAACTCTCATGAAAACAATGCCGACATAATTAAACACATCCTGAAGTTGTGCCAAAGATAAGCCCCCCCCACAAGTGTTATGAATGTGAAAGACCTCTTCTGGAGGTCTCTCACACTGAGACCACCAGGAAATTGTCAGAGCAGAACAATAAGTTCCAGGGCCCGGGAGAGCGGCAAGGTCAATCCAAACTCCTCACATTAAAGGTGAGAGATCTGAGGCACAGAGAGAACTGACTTGTTCAAGGTCACACATTGAGTCACTGGTTGAGCGGGGCCTAGGGGACCTGGTCCTGGGACTGCCAGTTTTGGCTCCTTTCTGCCATATCACAAGATCCCCACCAAGGCAAACGCGGTCTCTGAGTATCTTGCAAAACACTCCCAATTGAACAAGGAAAACCAAAATCCCGTATCTGAATCAATCAGGCAAGTGTCTCCATTCTCAACTTTATCTGGCCACGAAGACCCATGGGAAAGCTGCACTGTGCTGGTGGCAAGGGAGAAGGGGATGTAACAGGATGAAGAACCCCATTCTTTTCCCTCTTTCCTTCCTGTAGGCCGCGACTGCACACCACACTGCCAGGGAACCCTACAGGCGGCCTGCAGCCCTCAACTTCCCAGCACTTGTGGCTCCTGAGCACCTGAGCCAGTGCCCCTAAGTGTGGGGCTGTGGGCTGCAACCACCAGGGGGCCCCACAACCCCTCTAGCTCTGGACCTCCTCTCCACTACTGAATACCTAGACAGGAAAGGGGGGTCTACACCCTCTTCTCTCTCTATCCCCTCCCTCCCTCCCTGAGAGAGTGTCTAAGTGCGGGTCACACTATAGGATGACAGTAGAATACCACTCCCTGAAGGGCTTTGGAAAGGGACAAAAATTGAAGTGGGGATTCAGCTGGATGATTTTAAAGGAGTTATTACGCAGTTGGAGAATCTCAGGATATTTCCATGAGCATGGGACTCATACTTTGTTCTTTTAGGGAAGACAACCAATGAGACAGGTTAGGGACTATGGAAAATAAAGCAGACAGCCCCCTCCCCTCCCTAGCTTTGGAAGGAGGTAGCTGCCAGCCAGCCAGCCAGCCAGCCAGCCTTCAGTAGCTGGGTGGGGGCCTCCCAACACCCAGCCCACCCACCTCTGCAAAGCCAAGGAGGAGCCCCAAGGCCTCAGCTGGGCCCCTGCAGCCCTGGGCCACCCCCTGTCACCCACCATCCTCATCCTCCTCCTCGTCATCCAGGCCCTCCACGTAGCCCTCAGCATCCGAGTCAGGGGCCTCCTTGTCGTCTCGGTCGTAGCCGTCGAGATATGTGAGCTGCGGGAGGAGCTTGAACACATTTTCTCGGTAGTCGTTCAGGTTGGTTACCTCGCAATTGAAAAGGTCTAAGCTCTTGAGGTTTTCTAACTTTTTCTGCAAGTGGAAAAATGAAACCAACAGTAAGTGATTTGTGGGAGGAAAGCGGGGGAACAGCCCTAGCAAAAAGGCAAGGATGCCATGAGATACAGTGGACAGACCACGACTTCCAGGTGATAAGGACGCTTGGATTTGGCTCTGCTTAGCCACAGTGTTTGCCCAGACATATCACCTGCAATTTGTGGGCCTCAGTGTCTCCATCTGGAAAATACGGGGTTGGACTGGAGGATCTTTGAAGCCTTATCCAATGTTAACACTTTTATTTTGCAATTATAGCTTCTCTTAACAGTGATTGACTTGAAATTAGCCTGGGGCTTTCTTGGTGCATGAGCCAAGAGGTTTGCTGCCTTTCCCTGAGACTAAGGAACGAGAGGGAAACCAAAAGCAACTTGAACTAACACACTAACTCCTTCTGTATCTGATAATGATGATGATGAGGGCAGTTAACATAGCACTTCATGTACTGAGTCACTTTATCTCACAACTCCTGTAAGGTAGAAATAATTATTAGTTCATTTCACCTATGTGGAAATGGAGAGTACAGGATTTGGTAATTCATCAGGCAGCCCAACTTCAGACCTGTGCTCTTACTCTTTGAAATACCACCTCTCAGAAAAGGATAAGAGAAAAAGCGATGGAGGATTCCAATTCTGTCTGTAGTATCTGACATCACGTGCTCTGTCAAAGCTTCACACCAGACGGGTTCTAGCCAATGTTATCCCTATTTGATGGTAGAGGAAACTGAGGCCCAGGAAGTGAAGGGTCATACTGCTCGTCATACTGCCTTGAAAGCTAACTGATTTGCATTTTGACTTCCCACTCACCCACCTTCGAGGCACCAGGTACAAAAAAATCCCATCCCTAGGCTGAGGTCCCATTCCACAAGGGGCCAGGTCTAACAAGGGAGTAAAACCAGCTGCCTACTTGGATTGGGAGCCGCGGTGTCAATGTCGCGCGGAGCCTAGGTGCTCTCTCTCTGGACCGACCTTGCAGTTTGAGGACCTGGGGTCGATTCTCAGCCAAGCCCCCCCCTCCCCCGAAGCCAAGGGGCCGAGGGAGGAAGCTCTGACAGTGGACTGCCTGTAGGCGTAAGCCCGAGCACGCCCGGGCCTAACTCAGAAAGCAGCCCTTCCTGCCCCAGGGACTGAAGCTAAACGGACGAGCACCTGACAAGCAGGGGGCAGGGAAAGCCACTTGAGAACGGTGATCTGTTTGGCGCGAAGAACACAGCGTACACTTTTTATACTGGCAGTATGTACTTTTGTAAACACAACCAGAGTTGTTCTTTTGTATACACTATCGTTACTATGCATGTGGCGCTCAATTATTTCTTAAACTGTGCTTAAACTACCATTTTTACTTCCGAGCGTCCCTATTAACGCTGAATATAACCCAAATATTAAAATCATACTCTATTAAAGACACATCCACAAATTACTTCACGACATCCCTGACAAATATCTTAAATTACTGCATCAACCCAAATCTCAATTCATACAAATTGCAAATAAGAGAGATCCACAGATACACCATTAAATACTATCCACAAAAAATTATTTAGTCATTCCTTAAGCTACTTTGTGATTAATTGGAAATGCCATGCATTTGGCTGGTTATGCAAGAGAGGCAGATCCAAAATGATATAATCCAAGACAGTCATACCATAGCTCGACCAATTTAGTGTGTAACTTTTAACAATGTAACACTGTAATAAAAAATCTAAACACTTCACACACTGTTCCTTTGTATGGACTTCTAATTAACCAATTCTGACCCGTAATACTCTTTAATGATAACCACAATAATTTCTTTCCCTCAACCAACATTCACATTATACAAGCTGCAATAAAAAACTAATATACAATGCAATTCGTTTCATATTTACCTCATAATTAATAGTTTGAATTAAATTTAATAATTTAAAATCTACATCATTATATAAATACAACAGCAAAAATCTATTCACAAAGAAAACGAAGAAATATCCTGTCATCACTATATAAAATAATTTCTATGAACACTAAAAATATCTTATATTGGCCCTTACTACTCCGTAGCCGACTAGACCAGTGGATACTAAAGGGCATTATTTTAAAACTGAATAAACGAAGAAGTTACATATATCTTTTTGCGGTTATGCTTTAACACGTTTTACTAAATCACGATACTCCCATCTACAATTCCAACAAATTATCTATTTTTATCCGGCATCTATCCCCTTATTGAACAGTGTCCCTCCCTGAAAACAATAGCATATTTAAAAGAGAGTTTAACCCTTTTTTTTTGGCCATCACAACA